ATTTTGGATGTTACTTACCTGTTTTGTTATCCATACCTCATGCAACCAGAGGTGCAAAGGGCCAGCCTCGTTAGCAGCTGTAGGCCCTGTGCCCCCGTGGAGCCAGGAAGCCGAGATCTGTATTCCTCACCTTAGCCTCTCCCCACCCAGCTTGCTACCGCGCACACATGGTTTCTGTTTTCCTAAGCCCGCAGCAGAGCACAAGCAACTGCCCATGGTAAACACACTTCCGTGTATCAACATAGCACTGGATTTATCAACTTTCTGCTTCCAGGGAATGGCCGATCTAGAATTGAGGACAGGACGGGGAAAAAAAAAAAAAAAATACCGAGCTGTGCATGTTGTAAAGCCCATGTTTCTATAAGCAGAGTTTCTCAAGCTTAGCACTCTTGACAATCAGGGCAAATGATTCTTTGTTAGGGTATGGGGGGAGCTGACTTGTGCATTATAAGGTACTTAGCAGCATCCCTGGCCTCTACCCACTAGAGGCCAGTAGCATCCTCCGCCCCACTTCTGACAACCAAAATTACCTCCAAACATTGCGAAATACCTTCCTTCCCTACTGGGCAACGTTGCCCCTCGTTTAGAACTTTTATTTTGTATTTTACTTACCTGTTTTGTTGCTGAACCTGAAATAAATTTATTAATTTTTGCAGTAAATTGAAAGAAATGAAACAGGGACGCTCGGCGTCTGGTGAGTTGGTGATTATACCCACGGAACTCCAGTTTACAGACCTTCATTTAAAATTCCATTTGGGCAGCTAAAACAACATAAAATTACTTTCTCAGAAGCTTTCCCAACATTTTAATTAACCACCATCATTAAACATTCCCTTTGTCAATAACTTGACTTGCCCACTCAGATTTTGAAATTTCAGTTTTGTCTAGCATGGTTTTTTCATTAGAAACCATGTTGGTTATGTGTGAATTGCCCATCTTTTTACAATCTATGCTCCGGGAGCATGTATAATGAGTCTCTGGTAGGAGACAGACGTGGGAGTGAAAATATTTCTCCTTAACCACAGGAAGGGATTTTTTACAATGCCTTTTAGCTGTGGATACCCAGGGCACCTCACCCAGCAGGAAAGAGAGAGAATGTTCTCTCTGCAACTGGAAAATGGCACTTCACTGGAGCTAAACCCTTTTATAAACTTCCTCTCATGGAAGAGACAATCCAAATAAAGGACATTTGTTTAAAATACCCACGTGCCTTAATATAGAAGACCCTTTAGTTTAAGAGAAATGCACTTAAAATTAATGAATACCTTCTAATATAAATTTTTTTCACATGCATGTTCAAGTGTTTTGTAATAGAATACTCTTGTATTTATAGAGTTTCATGAGTTTTATTATATAGCATTAAGCATTTTCGTTGATTATCAGAGCACATTATATCTGTGCACATGCAGATTTTGACAGAGCTGAAAAATTGCACGTAACAACCTCCAGAGGATCTAGGGAACTAAAAAGGATCTGCCTCTTATTTCATTGAAATCTTAAAAACAAAATAACTCCAATGGCTTGAACTTAAGTTGTTAAAAAAAAAAAAAGAAAGAAAGAAAAAAAAATCTTATGTGGTCAGGCATTTATATATATCATCTGGAATAATTTTTAACTAAAGAAACACAAAACAATCAAAAGTGTTATAAAAGCCACTTATACTCTGAGTTTGAAACAACTGCTTTATGCCACAAAATTCCTGTTGCTACCTCTGTTAGTGACGGAGTAATTCAATATGTCTTGAATGTCAACCTATTTTTATTACTCAGCTAAAGTTGGCTTTGCTGGTTTAAATGTCATTTAAAGAGGGCGCCTGGGTGGCTCAGTTGGTTAAGCGACTGCCTTCGGCTCAGGTCATGATCCTGGAGTCCCGGGATCGAGTCCCACGTCGGGCTCCCTGCTCAGCAGGGAGTCTGCTTCTCCCTCTGACCCTCCCCCCCTCATGTGCTCGCTCTCTCTCTCATTCTCTCTCTTTCAAGTAAATAAATAAATAAATCTTTAAAAAAAATAAAATAAATGTCATTTAAAGTGATCAATTGGCAGCTTGTTTGGGGTTATATTCACATTTATGAAAGGGAAAAGTTTGCAAGAGTCAAATGTTCTTGAAACGTATAGGTAAAGCCTGTTCTCTGGTAAGCCCTGCCCTTCATTTACCAACCAAAGAGCAGATAACTTCCTAGATCTTTTTTAGTAAATGGTTTACATAAAGGTCCAAGTTCGATGCCTCTGAAAAACCAGCATGGTGGCGCAGTGCTGATTAAGCCCTTACTTCGAGAAATGGCCTGGTTCCCATTGTACTGTTTTATAAGAAATAGAATGCACAGCGACAGTAAAACAAAAGCCACAGAAACATGGAAAGTAAAAGTCCGCACTCGGGTGGGAATGGAAGAACCATCCACTCTATGCTTTAGTTCCAGTTGGCTGAGACGTGAGGGGAGTAGCCATATATTGCTCACCTTCCTATGGGCACAATTTCTTTATCAGCTACTAAAGGCAGTTTTTTTTATTATTGTTAGTCAAATGAACACTCTAGAGACTCACATTCCCAATCCAGATGAATCCAAAGGTGCCATCAGGCCTGTTTGCAGCCGACACGATTTCTCCCCTGTAGAGAAGCAATAGAGGAGTTATACCCACAGACCCCCTTTGTTGTTCCCTCTAATTTACTGGCATTTTATGTGATGATATTTGGTTTTGTCAGACGCTTTCCAGATTGTGGGGAAATTAAAATGTCTCTGCCATTTGATGGTAGGACAAACACTGAATCCACAGCTCAGTCCTCTGTTTTCCATCTGTAGTAAAAATGTGAGACAAGGAGGTGGCAGGAGGGTTAAGACACGTTGCCGACCTCACCGCTTTGCTTAGCAACTAGAGTCGTCCTGTGACAAGTGCCTTAAAAATGAGCTAGATTCTTCTCAGCCTGCACTAGTGTGACGCAGACTTCTCCAGGTGCTTTATGGTATGAGGATTGGGTCCCCTGCTCTCCCCCCGGCCGGCAGGGGGGTAATGGAAGTGACTGGCTGCTTCTGTTGCCAGAATGGAGTTCAGCTCCGAGAGTCTGCGGTGTCTTTGCTTCAAGAAGAGAGCAGTTTGTCCTGTTCTAAAACACGCACATCCCGTTAATGTTTGGACACAGATAATTGGGGGGGGGGGTGGCGGGAGGCTACTGTAAGAGAATATTTATGCTCATTTTCAGTTTCATGTTAGTTTCTTGAAAGATGAAACCTCTTAGAAAATGCCACATTTCCTTCTGCCATTCAGAGAAAAGGCCGGATTTCAGCACGGTTGCCCTGAACAGAGCGAAACCTTGCTCTGGAAAGTCCTAAAATTGTACAAATATCTACCTGTTAACCATCAGGAAGAGCGGCGCAGAGCCTGGACTCCTACATGTCACCCACGAACTGTGCCCTTAGAGTAAATTACCAAGCCCTCTAAGCCCCAGCTTCCTCGTCCATAAAATAGGAATAGCAACAGCACCTGCCTCTCGAGGGGTCACCAGGGTCAAGTGCAGCCATGCTTGTGGAATACAAGCACAGTGCCTGCTCATAGCACCCAATACATGGCGTTGTTGTTATTTCCATGACCTTTCCCTTCGCTTGTGCCATCACTAATATGGTAATCCTGTAAAGGACGTGTTATTCCTCTTTCATGTATGAGGAAACAACCTCAGGGAGGTTTAAGAAATTTTCCCAAGGTGACCTGACTCCATTCCCCTTGTAAAGAGACTCCCAAGAAGGGTGTGTTTCATTCCCTGGGAGGTGACCATGTTGGTTCTAAATTATTCCAAGTCTCGATTAGACACTGCCCTCCAGGTGTGCCAGGCCTCACCCAACAGAAGGAAGTCAGCACGGTGTCGTGCAAGAGACCCAGAATTCTAATCCCAGCCACCTGGGGCCTCCAAGGATTAGAAAGGATGCAAGGAAAGTGCTGAGCACACACACAGAATTCAATCATTGATCCTTCACTACCAGCCGTTCTGGCTAGGGCCTGCCGAGGCTCCCAGAATCAACAGTGAACCCCTGGAAATCAGAGTCTCCTATTCTCATCTGGAGGCCGGTACAGAAAGCACACCTCGGTAGGACAGGTCTGCCTCCATCCACCTATCCGGGATGCCAGAGGGCAAACCACATACCATTTCAGCACATCCAGAAAACAATAGAACAAGGGAAAAGGGTGCAGGCTGTCTTCTCTTTAATATGCCAACCCACATCCAAAAGCCAAGGACTAGCACAGTGCCTGGCCTGTATTAACTCACTTAATAAATATTTGTGGCCTGACCAAGTGACGGAACGTCAGTCCGCCAAATGGGGAAAGTGATTTTTTTGACTTGGGTTCCTTTCTACCCTGATTTCATTATGAGAAAACAATTTTAAAGAACTCCAAAATAGGGCGTAATGAGAAAATATCTGTCCTCTTGAAAACCATTGCCAGTCACAGCTCCCAATCATAGCAAAACACAGAGTTTTCTTTCCCAGAGCCTTTCACGCATCACACTTCTTTTTCTGCCACTTGGTAGCCTGCCCTGATCTTCTCGTCTTTGTCCGTTCAGCCTCCAACCCCAGAGTAATCTTGCAGTACCACCAACCAGACCATGCTGTTTGCCTGGAACCCTGGGGCTCTCTTCCCGCCCTTTGACCCCGCCGGCCTAGTGTTATCCCCTCTTTTGGCTTGCTCTCTGTCTTTCATGTGAGCTCTGCTCAAGGTCAAGTCATTGGTCATGACCTTGGACAAGTTGCTTCCTCTTCCAGGTCACCGCGTCCTCATCTGTGGAGGGAGGCGGATGGCTGAGATGGTCTCCAAGGCCTCCACAGGTCAAAGGTCGCCTTTCTCCAGCACCATCTGCTAGGTCTCTCTGGGCCCTGGTCTCCTCACTGTGAAATAAGAAAGACCATCAGTCCACAGGAGGCAGAAGTGACTACTTGATTATTTTCTGTTACTTGTTCTTAGTGCCTCAACAAGAAACCTATTCAAAAGTGTTTTCTTGCCCTTTTCCTCTGTAGACTGTAGACTGCTTTGGGATTACGTCTATCAGTTGCTTTCTGACAGCCGGTACGAAAACTTCATCCGATGGGAGGACAAAGAATCCAAAATATTCCGGATAGTGGATCCCAATGGACTGGCTCGACTTTGGGGAAACCATAAGGTAAACGGGTACCAACTATTTACTCTGCCAACTAGTGCCAAAAAAAAAAAAAAAAAAAGCCTTTATCTTCTGGGTAGGAGGATAATTGCCTGGCTTCTGTCTCCTCAGTGTGCCCCTCATTATTTAGTTTATTTCTCACGGGGCAAACAATTCGACAGTTGGAAAGGGAAGGAAATAATTAAAGATGCCACCTTCCATTTGTTACTTATGCCCGGGGCCAGTTAACTTCGCACCCCCGGGGTCTGATAGGGCCGCTTTGGGATCAGCCCTCCATCCCATTCTCTCGAGCTGGCCCTGCCATCCTTCTGTCGCCAGGAGCTGGGAAACAGGGAAGCTCCACAGGGCTCTGGGACTCACAAGGCAGTGGGGAAGGGTCGCTTCTGTTCTGCTCGGTTAGAAACTCCCATGGCTGCAAAAGCCCCCTTCTCCGTGGAAATGCTTACCCTCTGACTTCGCAACATCCCCTTGAAATTCAGCAAACAGGCCAGAACTGTTTGCCCCACACTTTTCCGTGCTGGGAAGAGGGGCTGGAATTTAAAAGACGCAGTCTTTTATAGTTAGGAAAACTGTCAAAGTACATAGATGTAAAAAGTGGGTAAAACACCCTAAATGTCCACTGTGGATGACTGAATAATGAAACGATGGTGTATACATACCATGGAATATTACTCAGCCTTAAAAAGGAAAGAAATCCTGTGACAAGCTACAAGATGGAGGAATCTTGAGGCCATTATGCTAAGTGAAATAAGCCAGTCACAGAAAGACAAGCATTGCCTGCTTCCATTCATAGGGCAGATTCATGGAACCAGAGAGTGGAATGGTGTTGCCAGGGGTTGGGGAGAGGGGGGAAGGGGTGAGTATTATTCAATGGGCAGAAAGTTTCCATGAAGCAAGTTGGGTAAGTTCTAGAGCTCTGCTATACAACCTTGTACCTAGAGTTACCACGACTGTAGGATGCACTTAACAATTTGTCAAGAAGCTAGAGGTCATGTTAAGTGTTCTTACCACAGGAGAAGAAAAGAAAATAGAGACACAGAGCAAAGAGTCTCCCCCCTCAAAAAAAAAAAAAAAAAAATTTAAATAAATACATCCATATCCCTACTCAAAATAAAACAAACGAGTCACCAAGGTCCAGGCCTGACCGCAGGCCGATAGATGTGGGGCAAAGCAGGCAAGACACCTTGGGAGACACACCACCAGGTGAGCTGAGTGAGAGGGGGTGGAGGGGGGCACAGCCCAGCCCCACGGGGGCTGCAGCCTCAGAGGTTGGCAGCCTGAGCCCCGGCGGGCAGACCCCAGGGCCATGTTGAGGAAGACCTGATGTAGGCCATGACCAAATACGGCAAGGCCCCACTGACAGACTCCTTGGTGTGTGAGTCACCGAGAAAAATCCCGCCGCGGCTCCCGACTGTGCCCTAGCCCCCGGGGCTCGGAACCACTGTATTCTTCCTTCCAGAGCAGGAATCTAAACAACAACAACAAAAAAATCTCTTCCTTAAAATGACAAACCAGAAACACAAGTTGGAGAAAGGTCACTGCAATAAAAAAAAAAAAGAAAGAAAGAAAAGAAAAGAAAAAAAGGAAATCTCTGTGGGTCAGAAGGTGAAGGATGACCCACAGATCGGGGACCCCGCAGGAAGAAATTCACTGAGCAGAGCAGAGCTTGGTCTTGGGAAAGGAAACCAGGGAGGTTGCCGTGGGATATGCTTTCTTAGCTGCAGCGCCAAGACTTCTGACAAAAGGTGATTCACCTTCGGACACCTCTTGGCGGCGCGTGAAAGCAGAGGGGGGTGGGTACCGGTGGGCCCAGAGCTGGGGGAGGGGCAGGGAGCTTTCCCCCAACCGGCAGGGCCCCGCCTGCAGCTGAAAAGCTTTTATTTTAATAGCTCCCCAGCGTCTTTTCTGAGGTTGATTTCACTGTGTCTTTGTGCTTTTTTTCTCTCTTCCTCCTTTGAACAAACAGAACAGAACAAACATGACCTATGAGAAAATGTCCAGAGCCCTGCGCCACTACTACAAACTAAACATTATCAGGAAGGAGCCAGGACAAAGGCTTTTGTTCAGGTAGCACTTCCTTTTTCTCCTTTCCTTCTTTTGGGAGGATATTGTTTTCTTTAAATAAGAGGGAGGAGGGAGATTGTTAAGGTCTCTACCTGCCTGTGTGACACTCAAAGCCATCCAGTGCTACAAACTAGATACCGGATGCTGGGCTGTTAGAATTTTAGGGAAAAAAATTTTTTTTTTTTTTACTTATGTCTGTATTAGAATAAAGCCTGTAAACACAATCTGACTCACAGTCTGACTCACCTTTCAAAATAATGCAGTGATCAAATAGTATCAACATCCCAGTGTAGTTAAAAGGAACAACCAAAGTAACATCATCGAGCTTTTAAATCTAGGCTTCCAGGTTCCCAACCCTGTAAGCCACATTCTGAACCAGTGTTTGTCAAACTGCAGGTCATGACCTGTTCATGAATCAAGAAATGGATTTAATGAGTCAGTCACAAAACTGTTTTTTTTTTTTTAATGAAATAGAACCAAATTGGATAGAACAGAGTTGAAAATATCAGACTGTATCACATGAAATAAGAGTGACTAATGATTCATGAAAATTTTGGGGTGTGTGTATGTGTGTTGTACATGCTGAGTCATGATGTGAAATGTATTTTTTTATGATGCATTATAATCAGAAGAGTCTGAAAACTGCTGCACTAGACATTCCTCTTTCCAGACTTCCTCACAGCTAAGGAGTTCCAACCATTTAACCTACCACATAGATTGTGATTCCAAGTACTATGCAAGAGAGGACAAAGAATTAGAAGAGGAAGAAGAAGGGATCTAAAGGACCGATCAGGAGAGGTAGAAGTGGTGGTAATTGACACTGGTGGTAATGGCCGTGGGGAGACCCAGGAAAGGCCGGGAGAAGGTGGGATCAACACACATGACGTTAGGTTATGGGTTTGGCAGGTGGGACAGAAAAGAGTTTCAGATGGGGCTAGAGAGACGGATTGGGAGGTAGAAAGTGACACTCGGTATGAATAGATGAGCTTGCTGGGATAGACTGAAAAAAGCAGAGAACCTGGACTTTAGCAGCAAGAACTATGGTAACTTAGGGAGAGGGAAAACACTTGAGATTTTCAAAAACAACAGAAAAGGCTGTTCAAGAGTTGGAAACAGAATGGATTGAAGTAAAAAAAAAAAAAAGAACCCTCCTTTCCCTGGCTCTGCTGATGCTTTCCCTTCATCCTTCACCCTAACCTTAGTCCTCCTCTTCTTCCTGGATGAAATGATCCCAATACACAGCTTCACTTATCACCTTAATGGTTAGACTCTGTATCCAGCTCTGAAATCCTCCTGAAATTCCAAATCTCAATTTCCAAGAGCCTCTCATAGTACATGTCCCCTGAAATACCACATCAGTATCTCAGGCATGAAATGTTCATGTTCACATACTAGAAACCTCCCCTCCCCGCATCCCGAATTCTCGTTACTCATCAGTGGCGTCACCATTGTTCTAAGTGGCCAACCTTGACATTGGAGTTATCAGTGACTCTTCCCATATCCAGGTTAGTCATTGTGCTGGATTGTTCTTCCACTGTATTCTATGTCATCAGGGCTAGAAGCCTGGAAACCACATTTCCCAAGATTTCTTACCAGCAGATTCCAGGTCAGAGGCTACCAATGACAAGCACTTTCATGAGAATCTGGGAGATGTAAGAAGGGCAAAAGCATTATTATTGCTTCCCTGCCTAGACTTTATGATTTACACCTAGATTAATTCATAATCCTTTCTACCTCTGGTCCACTCTCCTGCCTTCCAAATTCATCACGCACCCAGCCAGCTGCCCTGCAACACTAACATGATTCCCTGTGCCGGAAACCTACATCCCTTTCACTTTTGCTTTTTGTGATATATATGCCTTCTAGGCCCATCTCAAGTGTCCTGCCCTTCATGCAGCCTTCTTCAACTGCTCAAACACGCAGAGATCTCTTCCTCCATCATCTCTTGGATTCCCTTGGCCCTAAACCACATTGCATTTGCAATAGTTGTACGTAGCGTATGTGTGGATTTGGCCTCGGGAGATTGTTAGTGACTTCAGATGGTGGGGAGAAGTTTTAGTTAGGGGATGAAAGGAGAAGATAGACTGCAGACTTGACAAATCATACTGCTTGAGAAGTTCAGCAATAAAGGGCAGAGAAGAAGCAGAAGTAGTTGGAAAGTTCATAGGCTTCCAAGAGTGATTTTCGACAATATAAAAGGACTAGTGCTATTAGTGAGGAGAGTTGGTCATTTTTGAGGAAATGAGTGTTAGAAGCCAGACTTGCCCAAAATGCTTCTTCGTGTATGTGTTTAACACTTCACTCAAGTGAAGTGTTAAATTGTGGGTACTCTTTACAGGATCTGTAGGCATTGAAAGAAGGAAGATTTCAGTAGGGACCGGTGCTGTTACATGGCTCTTTGATGAAGAGGCAGGGCTCAGAGAAAGGAGTAAAGAGAGAAGGCAGGTTTGGAGGAAGGCATGAGCCATGATTTGTATAAGAAGAAAGACTGGCCAGGCTAGAGTAAAGGGTTCATAAACAGTGGGGACCCAGAGTTTCCCAGGTAGAGATGACCGAGAGCCCAGGTGGGCAAGCCGAAGAGTGTGTCCTTGGCTTTATCTGATAAGTGCTCGTCATAGGCTTTTGAACATGGAGTTACGAGAGAAAAAGTATGTTTTCAGACAGTTCATCTGGTGGCAGGGCAGAGTGTCTGGGGAGGGAAAGGTGTGCAGGCCCTGAGTGGGACTGTGGAGGGGGCTCTCCCACGGTGAGGCTACAGGGTCTGCACCCAGGCTGCCTTCCTGAACCGGGGAAATCACGGTCGATACAAGTCGCCGATGTTATTTCCAACAAGAAGATAAGGCTTGCCGTATGCACCCGGCTGCAGAGGAAGACAGACTAACGGGGATTCATTGCTAGCATGTTGGGTGGAGGGGTGATAACAGTGAAAAGGATTCTTTCTTTTTGCCTTTCTAATTTCCAAAAGCACCACTAACTTGCCCTGTTACGAAAATTTTCCATTCAACGTTTAATTGTGTCCTTTGAGTTAAATTCAAGTTTTGCATACGATTCCCTGGGCTCACAGTCTGAGATGGGAATGGATCTACAGCTCCCAGAGGTCATTGGAAAATCTAACTGGGGTGCCTGGGTGGCTCAGTCGTTAAGCATCTGCCTTCGGCTCAGGTCATGATCCCAGGGTCCTGGGATCGAGCCCCACGTCGGGCTCCCTGCTCTGCGAGAAGCCTGCTTCTCCCTCTCCCACTCCCCCTGCTTGTGTTCCCTCTCTCACTGTGTCTCTCTCTGTC